CAAAGACCTTAAAGGAATTTTTGTCTGTCTACTGCTTCCTTCTATATTTTGTGGTTTATATACATCAGAAGGTAAGCTTTGGAAAAGAACAGATGGGCTCAGTTCATACCTCTGTGCAATGAGATTCCATGTTAGATACACAACTAGTGAAATACTTTTGTAGAGCCTGAGTAGTCAGTGTTTGTGATTTGCTTTTTTTTTTTTTTTTGAGTCTCCTGTTTACAATTACTACTTGGTTTTCTTGGAAGTGGTTTTGATACTTAGTTCATACCATAGAATCACAGAATGGTTTGGGTTTGAAGAGACCTTAAAGATCATCTAGTTCCAAGCCCCCTGTCATGGGAAGGGGCAACTAGACCACGTTGTGCAAGGCCCCATTCAACCTGGTCTTGAATACCTCCAGCAATGGAGCATCCGCAGCTTCCCTGGGCAACATGTTCCAATGTCGCACCACTCTCATAGTGAAGAACTTCTTCCTAATTTCTAATCTAAATCTACCTTCTTCAAGTTTAAAGCCATTGTCCCTTGCCCTATCACTACAAGCCCTTGCAAAAAGTTCCTCCCCAGTTTTCTTGTAGGCCCTTTTCAGATATTGGAAGGCCACAATAAGGTCTACCCAGAGCCTTCTCTTCTCGAGGCTGAACAATCCAAACTCTCTCAGCCTGTCCTTGTAGGAGAGGTGTTCAGCATTCTGATCATCTTCATGTTCCACCTCTGGACCTGCTCCAACAGGTCCATGTCCTTCTTTTGTTGGGGGGCTCCAGAGCTGGATGCAGTACTTGAGGTGGGGTCTCATGAGAGTGAAGTAGAGAGAAAGAAAAACTACACGTTGCCTTAAGGTAGATGTGGCACAAAGAACTAAAATTAAGATATTATACTAATGTAAAAATAAATATTTATATGAAGCCCCTATATAGGCTAGGTGAGATTTAGGTCTTATGTGTTTATCTTGTCAAAGTATCATCCACAGTATTTCTAACTGTAATTAAGGAATCAATAAAAGGGTATGTGTGCCATTTTCCCTTTCCTTTTTTTTTTTTTTCCCTATTTGCCTTTTAAAAGTTTTATATTTTACAGTATTTAAAATTTGCTTTCATGGTTATATATATGTGTAAGTTAATGGCTTTAACAACGGTCAAAAAAAGGCCAAACTGAGGAAATTCTTTACAAGTAGGGACTGAGGAACTGTGGCCTGAACAAAATGCTCTGTTCCAGAGGGTGATTCATAAAATGTTCAGTCTGCTCCACGACAATACTGCTTGCTAATGGACACTCACAATTTTTGAGATGTTTGGAACACTTCCATCTGTACTCTAGATGCAAAGACTGCCAAAATCTGCCAACCATTAGCTGAAAGGATGAGAGTACATTTTTTGTTAACTTTTCCTGTACAAATGGGGCCTTAGCAAAAAAAGAAGACTGCCATATAGTGGAGAGGGATTGCTTGTACTTGGGCCAGTTAAAATTCTCCCAGTGATACTAGTGTCTTTTTTTTTTTACTGTGCAGACTGTTATGCACAACAACCTCCTATTAAAAGAAGAATGAAATTCCTTCTCATTTTATTCTTCTGGCCATTGAACTGGCAGAGGCTTAAATGCTTCTTAACACTGTAGTAAGAATCTTATCATTTGTACCTAAAATTTCATGTAAGCCGGTATAATACATGTTTGAGAGATTATGTTTAATTGTATTGTGTTGAATCCAGCTGTGAAAGCCCTGTTTCAGACACAAACCAGTAGGAAACATTTGCTTGTCTAGAAATGATCACAGGAGTCCTTTGTAGTCTTGGAAGTATGCTCTTGTGGTTTTGTGGAGATACTACACTATATACTGGAGGGTGGTTTGGTAATGTCCAGAAACAGCATGGGTTTTTTTCATATGTATCTTCAGATTGTATGAAACGAATCTTTTTTCTAGAGTGCAGATCTGTGTTTGTAACAGAATGTTGGTCTTGCTTGAAAAGTAAACATTGTGCAGTGTTTACTACGAAGAGGTACACATATAGAACGGGAAATAGTTATGAAATCTTTTTGTAGCATATTTTGATAAATGCTGGCTTTTTATTACATTGATTATAGTCAAAATACTTTAACAGTGTCCTGCTTTTTCATTTGTTTTGTATAGTAATCATCGTAGGGATGTTCATGGCCACAAGTAGAATAGATTTTGCTCAGGACGGGACATGGGATCAGCTAATATAATGCTAGGATGCAAAAGGCATGGACTGTACTTTGCTTTTCATAATCAGTCCGTAAATGGATCAGGACAAGTTAATTTAAACTCTGTGCCTTGGTTTCCCTTCATAACATTGAGATCCCAATATTTCCTTTGAAAAATGCTCTGAGATCTAGAGAAAAACGAGCTATTGAAGAACTGTATGAAATTTTATTGCTATAGTGCTAAATGGAAGGAGAAGGTGTGAATCATTCACACCAAACCTTGCTTTATTTCTTGTTTCTGTCTTCTAAATCAGATGTTCTGAAATAAAGATTTCCAGCATAGATTGGATGATGAGATTAGAATTACCTGTGGACCAGTCAGAGATTTATCAGTGGGATCTTTCAAGACTGCAGCTCAGATTCTCTCCTGCTTATTCTGCTTCGTAAGCAGTTGCCATGCATCAGATGTGGTTTTTTTTGAAATGTTGCTGTTTTGATATAATGGCATTTCCTGTCTCCTTTTTTTTTTCTGTTTTATATCTCTTGTAATTCTTTTTATATATGTTGGAAGACAGTAAAGAAGCAGGACCTTTGAAATTATTTATTGTTTGAAATATTAAAAACCCTCAAGATTTATATTCTAATCATTTATGTGCAGGGGTATTTGTCAAAAGAACCTGTAGGACTTATCACTTACTTGTGTTGAATTTCAGCCCTCAGGCTCTTCTTTCTTTATACCTCAAACATCAATCTTATCATACATAGCAATGATTTATTGGCAAAGTTCCTCAGATGTAAACCACAGGAAGGCTTTGAGGGCAGTTGTTTTCCTTGAATTACCTGGTGTTTCTAGCCAGATTTCATATATTCTGCCTGCTTCAGGCACACTGGTACTGCTACTCGTGATACACCATGATTTTATATGTTTCGTGATTTTCCCTGTTCTACAACTGAACAGATAGTTAACTTGGAATTTGTAAATGGGATTTTAAGTCACACAATATTTAGCAAATAAAACACCCCATATAGATCAGAAAATAAACCAGGACAATTGCATTTCCTGTGTACTAGATGGAGAGAATCAGAGAAATGAGCAAATTACTTGTCATGAGGCAGTGTCTCTGGCAGTGAAGAGAAACAGTAAAAGATCAGGTATAATGTAAAGGAAATACATGTTTTGGGAGTGCATAATTTCATATTTCACAGATATATTTATTTAAATGTTATTAGATGTGATAGCAACTAGCATAAAAAACAAACAAGCAAATTAATTTTCAGTGTACTGTAGTGTTGCTTGTATTTAATATTTAACTGTAATTTTAATTATAAAAATGTCAAAACTATATAAAGCTATAAAATTATGCTTGAGGTTTTTGTCAGGTTAGTTTGTGAGTATCCCATTACATCAGTCCAAAAAGATCTCCCCAAGCACCTGTCACAGTTCCTAATGACAGCTGCTTTCTCTCCTGCACCTGCTATGCTCCTTCAGGTAACAGAATTCTCTTTCTTTCATTCCACATGCTTGTCTTAACCTCTGGCCCTGGCCTGGGAAAGGTCCTCACAGCTCCTTGGCTCACAGACCAAAGGAGCTGAAAAGGGCTATTGCTTATCGCCGTCTACTCAGCACTCCTTTTGTACCACTGTATGATTAAATGAGGAAAAACATAAGCCTTGTTAATCAGCACACAAGGGAGCCAGCAGAAAGTGATGAGGGCTGATAAGTTTCTTGAAATTACTTTTATATTGAAATCACTTGAATATTTTATATTAGTTGAATTTTATCAGGACTTGTCCATTCAAACATAATTTACTTGAAAATAGTTTATGTAAACTGTAGCATTTACAGAGTAATTGCAATAGTACAGACTGCTGTAACATAGTAATATTTTGAAATCATGGATCCATTTTGCACCTGTCCAACAAAACTGAAATTGCACCAAGGTAGCAATTGCCAAGACACAGAATATAGTTTGCTTCCAACAAAGTTTTTAAGCTCTTCCATTTCCAATTTATATGCTGTGCTGACAGTAGCAAACCACTAAATCCATTTATAGGTCCAATTGGAAGCTTGTTGATGAATTTACATTATCAATGTTTAATCAGTATCTTTTTTGTTTGATTGTTTGGAACAGCAACAAAACCCAGCAGATGGGATATGCAGCTCTGGGTGACACAGGCATTTGGTCTAGGTTTTTCACTTGTATCTTTTTTTCCAAACTGTAATTCCTTCCCAAGATTAAGCATCAGAGTAAAGTTCAGCAGAAAGTGTGTCACCTGTTAATCATCACCTATTGTTTCCTACCTATGTTTTGGTAATGAAATCTACAGAGTTTACTTTCCCCTTTGGAAAAATCTTCCTGTATCAGTCTGCCTGGATATATTGTACCCTTTATGAGTAGCCTCGTTTCCTTCCTTTCAGTCTCAGCAATTCTCCATGCTCTTCAAATGCTGCACTGCTCACCTTCAGGTTCATCTGCTTGAGGAACTAGTTAATATCCTTCTGTGCATTGTTTTTTTCTTACTTCTTAATGTAAAATAGCTGTGTTTGTTGAAATTACCATTGTCACACATACGTTGTGTATTAGGTACAGAAACGTAAATGTTGGAAAGGTTTGGTATGCGAACAACAGCTAGCAATCATGAAGGACAATGTCATATCCTTAATAAATTTAATTCCTGTTTATTATTCTAAGTATTATACAATTTTGTGTGATGTTCGTTGTCCCTTGACAGTTTTACTAAGCAAATTTTTGCAGCCAGATCTTTTCTGTTTTGACCCTCAGAAAGTAAGTTAACATTTCATTGTGTGGAAAAAAAAGTGTATCTTTATTCCATTACAGGAATACACAATAGATGTTTTCTTCCGTCAGAAGTGGAAGGATGAGAGATTAAAGTTTAAAGGCCCAATGAACATTCTTCGATTGAACAACTTAATGGCCAGCAAAATCTGGACCCCAGATACATTTTTTCACAATGGGAAAAAGTCAGTCGCTCATAACATGACAATGCCAAACAAGCTTTTACGAATCCAAGATGATGGGACTCTTTTGTACACCATGAGGTAAGTCTTTTTATCTGTTCTCTGATCAAGCTATTTCTTGATGTGATTTCTCCCAGATAACAGTAAGATTCCAGGAGGACTCTCCCTTGTTTCGTTTCTGTCTCAGCGGAAAGAAAGCTATGAAAACATAGGTTTTGTTTCCAATTCTTTTACAAGTCTGTTGACTGATTATGAGTTGGAACAGTTTTCCTACATGTTCCTCAGTTTTCATACCTCTATAAAGTATTAAAAGATATTGACCACCTGAATAAAGTACTTTGAGACCGTTAGGTGGGAATCACTGTATAAGAATTGTTAAGAACATTCGATTTTACCAATTCTGTCTTTAGAACAATTAAAGGAGTATATGACTTTTGCCTATTACTGCAGCCATTGTACTGACCATGTGAATGCTTAAGTGAATTTATTATTAAGAACAGTGGCAATAAAAAATAAAGAGGATGAAGAAAGAGTTAGTAAGGCCTTGAATTCTTTTCAGCAAGAATTACAGAGAAAATGCGTCTTATTCTATAACTGTTTCTTTATCTAAATAAAGTAGTTTACTTAGAGTTTCAATTTTGCATCCTGTGCGTGATTAGCAACTAAGATAAACATTTATCTTGATAAAATATATTAATTTTGCTTAGAAAATAATTTATGATATATTACAAATATCATGTATGAATAGGCAGAAGCAGCATTTTTATAAGGCTAATTTCCTCTTTGATTACTCTTTTTGGAATAATGCTACCTATAAGTTTTTGTTTGTTTTTTTTTTTTTACCTGATTTTCCAGAGATAACGGACTTAGTTTCTTTCTTTTTTCCTTTGAGAGTATTTAATAAGCTGAGTTTGTTGTGAAAATAGACTTAAAATCCACAGCCTAAAATGTGAGCTGTAAAGGACACACGTACTGTGTATTTCTTCCATGCAGCTGTAGGAGCATCCATTAAGCCTGATTTACTATACAACACACAAACCCTTATAGTATTAGGTGTTGATGGGTAGGCTGCTAATAATGTTGAATGATGTGGTCATCAGAGGGGTTCAGAAAAATTTCCTGGAAATAAATTGAGACCCCTATTTATAGTGTTTTTCCTTGGTCTCAAATCAGTATTTGAACTTGAATCTGTATAAACTGACTGAAATTCTCTCCATCCAGAAGATATACTCATTTGCCATAAGTAATGAGAAATATTGTGTGAAACCATTATGATGATTTTTATTTTTTAAAAAAAACCAAAAACATAAGATGGGCCATATCAGCTAGAATTAGCTAAGCATTTTCACAACTTGTAAGTATGATGTGTCTAGGCATATGAGATTAATATATAAACTGTTTTCATTGTCTAGATTTCAAACACCCATTTTTATTTGTGTCTGTTTAAAATGCTAGTGTAACCTAGATCAGAGGGTCATGCAGTTCTTTCTTTCAGCTGTTTGCTAACCCTCTCTCTCTCCCCCTTGACCTCTTTTCTGGGGTGTGGGCGAATAGAAATGTGGAATATTTTGGGGTAGAAGGGTAGGAGAACATAGAAGGAAATATAATGATTATGAACTGCTGGGAGTCCAGGAGGATATAGCCAGTGTTTGAGGCTGAAATAAGAGGAATGAAGACATAAAAAAAAAAAAAAAAATCTCTATGCAGAGGAGACTTACAGGATAGGGAAGAGAAACAGTGGAAAACTTTTAATTATTTTTCATTGTACTGAGACTGGGATATTGTTGGCATACTTTCACAAAATGAGCAAAAGTGAATGCATTGTTAACAATGTCATGTTTATACATAAATAAAAATAATAATCATAAGTAACATGGAGAATAAGTAGCAGCAATCTTTTGAAAGAAAAAAAATGGTTTTTTTTCCTGCATCTTCCTATATCAAACTATAAAAAAAATAAAAATCAGAAAACTATGGAGCACAATACTTTGGCAAATTAACCGTAATTTATGTGCTTTTGTAATGAGCCTTTGAGAGCCATATAATCACACAAGCACCTCAGAATATTATGAGAATAAAATGACTGTTCTTAACAACCTGCAGTTACATAATTTATATTTTCATTTAAATGGCCTATAGTTTTGAGGTCAGCTTTTTCAGGTTTTTGATGTGATAAGTCAATGCCTTCCAAAGGAACACATAAAAGGGAAGAAGCAGGAGCTGATTTAAATTTTAATTAGCTCAATATAACATTTCAGTTTCATCTTCTAAATCAGCATGAACTCTGTTCATTTCTGTGGAATTGATTTTCTTGTCCTGCTAAGTGACTTAAATGCATAGTGGTTATTTGCCTTTTAGGCTTACAGTCCAAGCTGAATGCCCAATGCATTTGGAGGACTTCCCTATGGATGCTCACTCATGCCCACTGAAATTTGGCAGCTGTAAGTATATAACAAGAAGTACAGCCTTTGGTTCATGAGTATCTAACATTGCTCAGCATCACTTTGTTTCAGTAAGTTGTTGCATGAGAGGATTAAAACACAAGCTGGTACTTAAAAAAAAAGTAAAATAAAATATTAAACTCTTGTTTCTTCATTATTGTGTCTTCTAATGTATTTTAAAGCTTCCTTGAGTCCAGTTAACAATAAACTATGCACCTAATTCAGCATTGCACTGATCTACTTTTATTCCACTGTCCAACCATAATTATGAATGCAGACCTGGGTGCATGCTCTGGAAAGTCAGAACAACATACGAATGAATTTTCAAAAATATTATGAATCCAAATCTTGCAAATTCTTGTTATTTGCATCTCTCTTACTACAGGTTTTAGGATACATATAATATCAAATCTCTGACAAGTTTTTAACAGAGTAAAAGAGATGGTGCTTGTAATTTCATACAAATAAATTGTAGTTAATAAGATCACAAATGAATATCCTGTTCCTGTGCTGCAATAGGCATTTATCCTCCAGTAAAGCTATTTTAAATGGCCGAACATCTTTTTTACTGTATCATTTTAATTCTGGGGGATTTTTTTTAATAAGTAGATTTTTCTAATTCTATGAGTTTTGATGTTTATTTTAAATTGCTCACAAAGTATTTTATCTCATTTCTCACAGATGCGTACACAACTTCAGAAGTGACGTATATTTGGACTTACAATGCTTCAGATTCAGTGCAGGTGGCACCCGATGGCTCAAGATTGAATCAATATGATCTTTTAGGCCAAACAATTGGAAAAGAGACAGTTAAATCAAGTACAGGTTAGTAAAAGATATTTTGAAGAAAAAGGCACTCTCTCAGCTCTGAAGACCATAGGCATTGGTGGTGGTGTTAGAGGGCTACTGAAAAAAATTTTGCAAAATATTAGATATTAGGCATAATAATTAGGCACATCTATTAATGTGTGGTACAAGTGGTACAACACGTAGTAGTACTTCACTGATTGTTTCAAGTTAATCCATAACTGGTGATAGCAGAGGTGAACTTCTTCCCAGTGAATGTTTTTTAATGCTGTCTGGAGCTCAGTCTTGAATCCTATTGTTTGTAACTCAAGACTGGGATAATAATTTAATTTCATATAGTAAATTACACTTTTTGTCTAGTAAATGGCAAAGCATACAATCGTTGTTTCCTTCCATTGTGTTTTTGGCATTAAGCACTGGATTATTCTAGACTGTGTTCCTACATGTGCCAGGCTGTGATGGACCCCCATGATTGCCTCTGACTGTAGATTAAGCTCTCAGGATGCCTTTGAGTGAACACAGAATTGGTTATGGGCAGAAGCCTGCAGGACTGAAGTTCTTGTCAGGGCATACAAGAGTTCCTTTAAGTTCCTGAACACTGATCTTTCCTGGAGCTCACTGGGAGTAAGATGTAGTTGTTCCCAAAAACTTTATTACATTCTGTAGGATGCTTTTTACTACAAAATACATGCTGTGCAATTTAACCCTAGCACAATTGGTTCACATAAGCATAGCAAACTTTATTTTGCTGAAGAAACAGACTTTCTTAAGATGATAACCTTCTGTTTCTTTGTATTTTTTTGTTTGTGGCACCTAGGTGAATATACAGTAATGACGGCTCATTTTCACTTGAAGAGAAAAATTGGTTATTTTGTCATTCAGACTTATCTCCCCTGTATCATGACTGTCATTCTCTCTCAAGTGTCATTCTGGCTGAACAGAGAATCTGTACCTGCCAGGACAGTCTTTGGTGAGTATACTGAGTAGCGTTAGCTTTGTCTGCAACAGCTGAAACTGTGAAGAAGCATTTCTGAAGTCTGCTTGGTCAAAGCCTTTTTCATCCAAAAGTGTGTTTGTAGAATGTGGCACTATTTCTAGCCCAAACAGCTTTCAACTGCAGTTTACAAATCTCCTGAGAATCCCAAAGTTTTGGGATATTAGCACATACAAGAGAACTGTCTATATATCCTTGACTCTTTTAAGAGGAGAAAGATTTCACAGAATGGAAGATGATGATAATGTTTGTATTTAAAAAGTAAATTTAGTTTATTTTCTGAAATGTCTTACTTTGATATTATCCAAATATTTTGATACTTTGTAGATAAGTACATTTCTAAATATATTTGTAAATTAAGAAAATAAAATTTAAATTTGTTGAATTACTTGAATGTATCAAACTTTGCAAGCTGCAGTTCTTTAAAAGAATCCCTATTTGGGTCACTGGGGCAAAACTAATTCAAATTGGAGTGTACTATAAAGCAGCAAAGAGCTTCAGCATCACAAAACAATGGTGTTTCTCTTGCAAGAAGGTTTATTAAAGCAAAGTAACAAATATCTTTTTTACTTGCATAACTTAAATTTCTTTTAATTTGTTTGCTTTTAAAGAAAAGGAGACCAGCATAACAAAAAGAAAGTAGTCTATGTGGATTCAGCCATCAAAAATGCTGCACAAAATCATATGATTAGTCATCAGTAAACACCATGCACTCTTCAAAAAATAGGCCAAATTCAAATGCATATTAAGTACGATGCACAACAGAACACTTTCTCTCTCTTCTGGTGGAGAAAATGCTGCACAAAGCATTGTGAAATACTGCAGATTTTAAAAATGAGCCGTACTGAAGTCAGATGAAGTGAGTCAGTGGTTTTAGTGGAACCAGAATCCTACCATGTTTTTCCAAATAGTTATCAGGCAGATTTTGTTTTTGTTTTTTTTTTTCATTCTTCATAATCTTCTGTGAATTTGTTCATTTCTGCTTATCAAAATACACAATCTTATTTTCCAGCCTTGCAAGTACATTGTCAAATCCTTCTATATCTCTCTTTGCCCTTCTCTGTACCCCCTCCTGTACATTTAGGACAGTGTAACTGGTTTGCCCAAAAGAAGAATCACACCTTCTCTTCCTAAAACGCACTTTCTATTACTGTGTTGTCATTAACAAGGCACTACATGAGTAACAAGTCACTAGAATAATTTTCCTGGAGTATTGTGTCTCTTCCTGTATATGTCTTTCTTGTTCTTTTTTTTTTAATTTTATTTTTATTTTTTGTTTGTTTTGTTTAATTTTTAGTTTTCTTGAAATAAGTATTATTTGCAGACAGTCTACTGCTTTAGTCTCCTGGGAATTTAGCATCATATGGATAATAAACAGTGTCCTGTTTCAGGATGTCTTGAGGGAGGTGGGTACAATGGCCGTGACACCAGAACCACACCACCCAATGACGTAAAATCTAACATCTGTTTACTAAGCACAATGGATATATCAAAGAGATAGCAATTTCTATGCTAGTACTTTATTTCTTCCACACAGACATGAACCTCATGGACAACCTGTCCCCTCCAGCCCAGTTTAGACTGGTACCCTGAACCCAGGGGAGCAAGACAAGACCAGGCTCTGCCTGATGGAGCAGTCTAGACCCTGCATACTGCATTTGCACCTCAGGCTTAGCTTTACTCATTGGGTTGGATGTGCCCTGAGGAGCTATTTCTTAACATTCTTTTACACTGTAGATGGGGTTGTCAACATAAGGTGCCAATGGTCTCTCTAATCACATAGCCCAGGCAAATCTCCATCTTTCTCCATACCTATTGGCAGCAGTTGTCACTGGGATTTCTGATACCCTCTGGTCTCCTGCCTAAATGTGTTACAAAAACGTGAAGTTAGCCACAGTTTCATAATAAAGTTAATCTATTGCTTCTTACTGTTTTCTGGCATGTACTGAATTAATCTTGGCAGTTAGAGCTGAGCAGGTACACTCAAGGTTTCATCTGAGTGATACTTTCAGGTAGACTCCACCCAGTGACACATGAAAGCCTTACTACAGCTAATTTAATAAAACAAGCTACTTCCACCAGGGAACATAAAAATTGCAAGAGATTTTACCTTACATATTTATTGATCATACTTAATTTTTAGTTTTTATATGGAACAGTAACTTGATAGATACCCATCTTTGCATTGCATACTAAATATATCAATATTAAAATATTATTAAATACAAAATATTAGTTTTGAGAAAGTTTTTTCAGAATCAAAGAGAAACCTGTTTGTCTTGAGAGCTACCAAGTCCTGGGAAGAACTACTTGCTAGACTACCATTCCTTTCAAAGAAACATAGCTCCTAGTTACTCAAAGCATCACTTAGCATTTATTATTTCATGTTTGAAAGAAGTTACTTTTATTTCTCCTTTCTATATTCCTACAACTTAGTTTCACATCCTAGGTTAACATTAAGAGATTGGTATAATGAGGCTTCTTTTATAGCTGAGCTCTTTAATCCTTTTCCTTTATGGCATCTATTTAATATTGTTGATCTAAGCTATCCCAAATGAATTGCAGCATAATGTTGTATTGTTTAAACTTTGTTTTAAATTATTGGAAGAAGAAAGTTTTATCATCATTAATTAAATAAGTCTTGAATGTGTTTTCTCTAGCACATAAATTTGAAAAGCATTTGATGGCATTTTTAATGAAAGGGAAAAAGCCTGGTTCATAATGCCTTCATTTAGTGCAAGATGACAATCTGTTTCATTCAGTAATGTGTTTATTGTTACGCATTTAGTGTCGATAATGTTAGAAAAACTAATCTTGTGCAGCTTATCGAATTTTGGCTTAATTTTTAATGGGTCATAACATTTAGAAGTATCACATATATTGGAATAGCAGCATTGGATGCAGGTGACAGAAAACAATCAGAAATTAGTTTTCTTAATGCCACAGTTATCTGAGTGTTTTAACTCACCCAGAGTAGGAATGAGAATGTGAAAATTAATGTACTTAGGTATATAATCTTTGATACTCAAAGCAGGCAAGAACAATAATTAATAGTCATGTTATTTTTTAGACATTGTCCAAGGTGAAGAATTTTAAATTCATATAAATATATTCTTTTTTAACGACTCTGTTCTCTGTGATCATTTCATTCTTATGCTGCATTCCTAGCCTTGTATTTTGCTTGCTCTTGGTTTGTCTTTTATGAACCTATATTAAGGTATGTACAGTTTGAAGCAAAAAGCCATTTAGACCTGAAATAGACAGACTTTTTAATTGTACACCTGCAGAAAGGGGAACCTGAGATGTTCATATCTGTTGTATAGTTGTTTTTACATGTGAATTTAATAATATAGGACCTTTCTTTTGAACAACTCTGTATATACAAAGTACCTTTTTCTATTTTGTTGAAAAAAATCTTGACTGTCTTTATTTATTTCTCCTTTCACATGCTGCAGATTATCTTTTGTGCCTTTAGAGATATCCCACCATTCACAACTTTCAGTTTATAATTTCTTAATTGGGAATTTCTGCTAATAGTAGACATAATGCTCTAGTGGTAGGCAGTGGGCAAGCATATCTGGAAAACTGTAGCACTTAGAGACTGAGCTGGCTGCAAATGAACTAATACGTCTTCTCAGCTTAGTAATGTCCAAGACACTAACTCATGTTCCAATAGTGGTATAATGACATGCAGCTTTCACTGGAGCTGAGATAAATACCACTTGTCATTCAGGTTTGAGAATTCGTTTGGCCATTGATGAATGGGGAACTCTTATGTATTGGTAGAGTGAGGCAACATGAGCACAGACTTCACGATATATGGAAGTTAACTGACTGACAGGATGCAGCTTTTCTGGAGATACATGATGTTATCATCCTTGGCCTCCCATTCTGTTTAAAAAGGCTTCTGGTCTGTGGTGTTGGATTTTTTTTCTTGGTGGGTGTGGTTTTTTTTTTGTTGTTGGTGGTGGTTGGTTGGGGTTTTTTTTAGTAAAGAGTAGACAGAGTTTTTTAGCTGGTTCATGCAATCTTTCTCTCAATGGTTGTTCAGAATTGTCTCCCAGTCTGTAAGAAGAATCAATGTACAGTCCTTTTGGATTGTAGTCTCAAATAATACAAATGCATTACATTAATTAAAAAAATAACTATGATGTGTAGCCAAATGTTATTATGTAATACTTTAAAGTTACTCTGTCTCCAGAATTTTTAAGCTTTTGTTTAGACCTCCAGCCATTTACTCTTGGAGTGATAAAGTGAAGCAGTAATTCATATCTCTGTAAAAGGGACAACAGTCTTTCTGCTATGTTATTTGCATTTATAAATCTATTTGAGTTTTGGTACTGAGGTAATTAGGCTGAGGGACCTAATTACCTAACAGCATTTTCAATTATTGTAAAGAAAAAAGGAATGAAATAATAGAACAATGGAATTAACTTCTTAATAATTTTTTTTTAAAAAGTAATTTATCAATCCTTTTATATGTTCAACTATTATGTGTATCTGTGCAATATGCTGTGATGAAAAGATAAAATTGCAGAAGGAGTAGCATAGCATTATAAAAAATGGAACATATTTTAAGCGTTGTGTGCAAATCATTTGCAAAGCTGACGTACATACTCTGTTACAGAAATGTCCTTTGGTAACTCATTATTTAGGCTTTTACTTTCATTTTCAAAGGAGATGTCGACATTCTCGCATGAGAAGACTAGGACATGATTTAGTTGGCTAAAATCTGTTCAAATTCAAAAAAATCAGTTGATACACAAGAGATTAAATTAGGGTCCAAAAGAATGTGTTGCTGTTGAAGAGTAGCCTGACGTCTGCACACAAATGTAGGCATAAATTAGTCATTATGACAGATTTTAACTTTAATATTTGTGCTATCTCCTCCAATTTCCACTGTATGTTTTTAGTTAGACACTTCTATTTTTTCAGTTCATTTCTTTTGCTGTTGCATGGCAGTGCTCTATACAGCTGAATGACAGAAATTGCTTGCCCAGATTTGGCCGTCTAAGTATGAACACATCTTGAATGGTATCCATCTGTCCTGGAATCCAAAATATGACAGAGCTCGTATTTTCCACATATAACTTTCCATATATAACTTTAGTGCCAGTGAAAAGTGTTGAATTTACAGCCCTGGACATGGCTATCCTCTCTCCAGTGAGCAGATGCCATTTCAAAAGCAGCACCATTAAAAAAAAAATCCTAGGCAACCCAGAAGGTGCAGTCTTGGCCTGGATGGATAAACCTGTATTGACAGGAGATATTTAGCTTTTATAGGCATGCACTGCTGAGTACAGAGGTTATAATGATGTTGAGGAATATTTACTCTCAATTATAAAATGCTTAGTCCTCTTCAGAGAACAGAAATGTCAATGGTTTATTTTTGGGATCCTTTTTAAAGACAAACTGATGACTGATCATGGTCTCTTACAAGATGATACCTGTCCATGTCCTTCTGGCACCCTTTCAGTACCACATCTGCTGGGTGCGGCGCTACACAAGATAGTTCTTGACCTGCATATAAACTGGGGTCTGTCTACATGATAGTGAGAGGTCATACCATTCTTACATAGCCTGTTAAATTACTCAGGCTCTTCAGAGTACTTTATGATTTAGGGGAGAAATTTTTCCTCTAATACTTTGACTACTTCATTGTAGGGGGACAGTCTACTCGCTATTTTTTATATCAATTTTAGTTCACTAGTGTAATGAAGTAGATAATGCAACAGGGAACATTTTTGATCTAGTTAGCACAAGGGTTTTGTGGAATTTTAAGTTAATTCTTTGTAAAATAAATGTGTTTTGTTTTATAAGTTGACCATATTCTTCCACATTAATAATTTTTCAGTCCTCTCAGGTTTAACAGTGACAAAGAGGCAAGTTATTTACATTCAGTCCTTTTTTGTAAAGAAGACTTGATAAGTGATTTTTCAAATTAACTATAATGTGCAAAATCATCTGTATTTTGACTGAAGAAAAATAGCAACCATAAAAATATTAGATATTCCTAAACTGACATGCATCACAGATTCAATTTTCTGGCTGTTTTTTTTCCCCACTGAATTTGGGTTAAATGACTGTGTTAGCTTGAACATCACTGAATTTATAGACTGAAAGAATAAATAAAAGTACATTGGCAATTGTCTGACAATGTGCTGTTTGATTAGTATTTAGGTCCCACAGTGGTGTGGCTTGCTGAAGTTTTCAGAGAAACAGTGAACTGGTAGCAAGGCGCAAGATATAAATTCATTATGTTTTAATTGAGACTAGAAAAGGTCAGGAGTTAATATTAAATCAGATTTCTGAAAAAGCCAATAGGGCTTCCAGGGTATTAGTTTATTCTAAAAGGTAGGACTTAAACAGACCAGCACCTTAGCAACTGTATATATTTACATGTGAATAAGGTCACCTTATCTCTGAGCAACAATCACTTTACTGATACTTCTACATAATTAAATTGATTTATCTGCCACTCAGGACTGGTGTTAAAATTTGCATGTGGTAATTTTAAACGTAAGATAGACTGCCTTTTCCCTGCGGTGCTGAAAATAATTAAGCCATATGTTGTGTAAGTGTTAGGAGAGAATAAGTTTGTAACAAAATATGTTATCTACACATTTTCATCCAATATAGTATGATAGCTGCTTCCTTTTCATTCTATAGGGTTCTATATCCCAACAGTATCACAGCTAATTCCAGACCAGATCCACTTCTTTAACTTAGGGAGGCTAAAAAGTAGCAATTAGAGAATGATTTCTGCTAAGTTGTCTGGATACTGTGTGTGTGGTTCAGCAG